TTCAGCTTAGATATTGACCTTAGATGGAAAAAGCTATTTTTAACAACAGCATTAATTTGTCGGTCAAATTTGAGCTCAGAGTCAAAGATGACACCAAGGTTTTTTTACACAGGACAGTTTCTTCCCAGGAAACTGTCCCAGGCAGATTCACAGCAAGCAAATCGCATCAAACGTCTGCTGAGCTCCGCCCACTCCGATGAAGCACGGCAAATGATTGAATCGACTGTCACTTGCCTTTCAAAACACTGAAATATTTGAATAGTCTTTATATATATATATATATATATATATATATATATATGCATATTTTGCAATAAAATATATTGTTTCTATATATACAATCAACAACTTTAAATGGATATTTTTATATTTCTCCTTCAATTTTTTATTTGATTATGTCATTCACAATGGTTCATGAGATTCTAGTTCTTTCCCTCATAAGCCGTTAAGAACACAGTCTTGCACCTTTGTCTTTTTGTCAGATTTTCAATAACATTTTGCTTCAAATCCAAGTTTGTATTGTTGTTCGCCTTGTAGCTGGTTGCTTGGTTCATGTCTTATAGACTTTTTCAAAATCCCTATATGGAAAATAAATGGATAAAATACTTCTGGAACCAACAACGCTGAGAAATGGAGGTTACACGCTGTTGAAAAATACAGAAAGCACAAGAGGTAACTTTCGAATTTACACACAAAGAACTGTTTTTTTTTGGGGGGGGGGGGTTATCACGTGTCACTTTTATCACTTTTTTGATTGGATGAAGCCTTCTGGTTAAGCGGATCTCTCAACCAAACCCACATGTCATTAGTCTGACTGCTCTGGTCATTATCCTGCCACCCTCTGTGCCCTCTAGGTCCTACTAACAGGGCCTGGGTGATTCCTATAACGTCTGTCTCTCCTCATTGTCTAGGGAGTGGATAGGGAGAGGTAGACTGCAGCTCTGACTCGTATCTCAAAGATCTATACAAAAAGTGTCAGATTCTTCCCTGGGAACTATGAATCAATAGTTCCTTCCTGACACTGGCGCTGCAAGCATTAAGTGTGGTTGGGTGCACTGCGATGTACCTGAGATAGAGAACAGGGTGGAGGAGGCTGATTCAGACCTACACCAAAAAAATAAAAATAAATAAATAAATGCTAGAAACATAGAAAATCCTAGAAATCTTTGCATATAACAGCTTCAAGCTCAAAATAGGGGTGAACTCTCTGTGTAAATGTCCGAAACACTACAACTAATCAGAGAAAACAACAATGCAATGCATACCAAAATCAATTCCAGTGTCAGTGAGGGTTAAAGA